TGCTCAGCCAGAACTATACAGATGACGAAACACCACAAAGACCGCAGGATTAACAATTCATATTTGGCAGGTTCTAACCAAGGAATACATTTCTAGAGTCTGACCATCTTTAGGATATACCATATAGCTTTGAAAAGCTTTATATCATGAGGAACTACTACCAATGAAACCAATGTTAGATCTTTGCTTGGGGCAGGATTAAAGAACACAGAACAAAACAGAACTGAGTTTTACCCTCATACAGAGACATACAGAAGATTCCATTAGGTCCACACAAGATTTGCTTTACTAACACTTAACTGAAAGGGACATGAATACTACGGCAGTGACTGAGCATCATCTTCCCCTCGCTAAGGCAGGGGAACAGTCTACCAGGAAGAAATATTGTATTCCCACCCCCCAAAAAAAGAAAAAAGAAAAAGGCAAGTATACTTTCAGACCAATGGTATAAACATGCAGATCAATGCAGGACTCAAGGGGGAATGATGGTTTTTAAGACGATGCAAATTTTATTGCTTGCATACAAATGCCAGATCCCAAGTGAGAAAATTCTTATAATCCCCTTCCTCTGCCCAATCAGCTGCTCTGGTTTCTGCCCCCTGCCCTGTATTCCCTTCCTGCTCTGCTTGCTGCTCCCTGCCCTATCTGCCACTGTTCTTCTTGTCCCTTCCGCGATCTGCCACATGCCACACAGAGGCTGCCTATGTCACTTGTGGCATGACTGCTACAGGCCGTCTACCCCAACTTAGTACATGCCCAAGTTTTACCAGAGAGCCTGAATCAATGGCCTCTGATCCCAAAAGAAGAACTTTGCACTTGTTTAATAAAAACACCTGATAAGTTTCCTTATCACAGAAAGACAAACAGAAAGGGCAACATGAAAGGCAGAATGGAAGAACAGCTCTAAAAAAAAAAAAAAATTTCAATTCAAAGGCCTCAATGAATAACGGAAGCTGTAGCAAAACAACGTAACAGTTGAAGTCCCCTTCTCCTTGGATGCAAAAAAAAAGACGTTTAATAAAAAGGCAGAGAAAAAAAAAAATCAAGCTCAATTCCAGCAGATCTTGTCAGGAACCTACTTTTAGCATTTGCGATATTAAATCTCAGGTGAATTTCTTCAGAACCTCTGGTTATCTATATCTATGCTATTAACTCCCACTGATACAATGGACCACATTCTTTGCTGCCTATACTTTGTATACTTGGTACCCTCATCTATATCAGTGAAAGATGTGAATAAAATGCTACAATTTTCCACAGGTATTAAAGGGTTACCCACTAATAAGAGTCAGGCCTAACTGAATTATTACTTCTTATAAAGCAACCAGAAACTAAACTGAATATATCACAATTAGAGTTTGACTTCTCACTTCCTCTGTACACAAGCAGGAACAACATACAGCGTGACAAACCCAGCTTCTCTCAAAGTACTCAACTGCTGTACCAGTACTTTGAGATGGAAAGACTCTCTCTGCAAGAGGAAAATCATTCCGTTTCTATGTCCCTTCAATCCTTGGCCTCTGCCAAGACTGCCAACAGGGGATGCAAAGGGCCAAATGTGCTCACTTCATGTACTGACCCCTGCTGTCAGAATTCCTTTATCCAAAGGTATTTTACATAAATTACTGGACAGAGAACAGGAAATTAAAAGTGTGTCAATAACAACAAGGAAAATTAAAAACAGAATCTAAGTCCTGCAATTATTTTTTTTTTGAAATAAACTGGATTGCACTGTACATAGGATACAGATCATATGAAGAAGGGACTGTTTTCCACATTAAATAATCCAAATTCAGACTATACGGATTCTAGATGGGGACACATAAGAATAAAAGGAAGAAAGGTTACTGTATACAGTTCCATGAAATACTCTGACTATACACAAAACATATGGGCTTACTTTTTAGTAGCTTATGTTCTACTTAAGAAAACTTTGCTAGATAGTTTGAGAAAAAAAATGGTTACTGCATGGGTAATCATGAGCACAAAAGATGGTACAGCTCAGCTACAACACCTGGCCTGAAACTTCCCTACTGAGCTGTCTTTCAAGCCAATACTGTACAGTTCAATAAAAGCCCTGAAGATCTGACTGGAGAAACATCTAAATACTTTCACCATATTCATACATATACTATAAAAATAACTATACTTATTAGAATGTAGGTACTATTAGAATTTACCTTGATATTTTTGTTTTTTTTAAACAACCCATAAGAGGAATACAGGTTGTTAAAAGGCAAACATCCAGAGAACATCTGCTTTACTGAAACAAAGTATTAACAGAAGCTGATAGATCTAAAAACAAAACATTTAATTCTCAATTCCACCTCCTTACAGAATTTTCCTGAAAAACAAGCAATTAAAAAGGAAGTCAGTTTGATCACTGCATCCAATATTTCCACTACTTAGAATTCAATGTGGTTCCTGGCCATCTATGAACAAAAATAGTAAGTCACAACATTTATAACTGTAGCAGCCCCTATTGACAGCTACACAGAATTCTGTTTGTACATTAAAAACAATTTTTAATATGACAAACTGTTACCAGCAGGAGAACTGCTTTCAGTGATGAACCCTTAAGCATGAAGCACTGGGCTAGCATCATTAAACACACTAATTTGATAAGACTCAGCATTTCTCCCCAGGAAAGTGAGCACAGTGCCTTCAAGAGAGCTACAAATCAAATAAAATTCATTCAAGCAATGAAGTTTAAGACAGGAGCTTTGACAGATAACCCCAAGATGATCTAAGGTTTCATTTAGCTTTAATGACTATTCTAACGAAAAGCTCTTTCCTAGTACAAAACAAAAAAGCTGACTTCAGTGTTTCTAAACCACTGAGTAATAAACTGCAGATCAGGAGCAGTACCTTTTAAAAAGGTATTAACAGAACCTTCTGATCTTAAAATACACGGAAAAAGAAAATGCTTGGGAGGAGACAGCCAATAAGCTTTTACATATTGGCTGCTTGTTTATATACAGGCCAGACCAGTGATACTATATTGTTGCTTTTAATATGTATTCAGTGGGGTTTGAGAGCTGAATTTGGGGATAGCTCCCAATGGGTATGCCCATCATGCCATGAAAGGCACCATCATAGTTACTGCTACAGCTGACAGTGAGACAGTCAGTCATATTAATCTGAAGTCAAGTAAAAGCCAGGCTAGATGTGTACATTATAGACTAACCAAAATATGCACGTATAATTAGGGGCCTACCGAATTTGCAGCAGAAGGCAAAAACTGCTGTTTTAAATATGGTGCTGTTCTTGCATCCTGCTGCTGATTGGCCAAAGGGCCCCGACAGTCCTTGTGGTCTCTGACCAGGGAGGAGGCAAAAACAGCACCATATTTAAAACTACAGTTTTCACTTTCCCACCAATCAAGAGCAGATGGAGAGTGGGGAGCATTGGGGTCCCTCCGCCAATCAAATGAAGAGGGGACACACAGGGGGACCTGCAAAATTAAAAGCCATTGGGCACCCCACTCTGATGTGAATTCAGTAGGTCTCTATGTAAAGTATTATTTAGAGCTGTGCATATTGGATACCCAACCATCTCTTTAAGCCCCTGGACACACCACATACCGACTCAAGGATCCGTCTGCAGTCTTGTCATGAATACTGAGGCCGTGCCCAGCTCACAAGAGCCATAGGGACCTACTGAAGCTATATATATATATATAGCACAAGTTTTTGTGGGCTGAAACTCACTTCACCTGCATGAAAGCAGATGAAGTGAGCTTCAGCTCACAGAAAATTGTGAAGTGTGCACACACGCACACACCTACCCCCGGGGTGCCTCGAGATCCTTTCAAGAACGCCACAAGCTGCCACACAATGTTAGCACTGCTAAAATGATTCACAAGATAAACCACGAGGTTTTAAACAAGAATCTATGGTGTCCAAAGCATTCTGCCCTGGTAGCCTGAGTTCGTGACAGCAAAAGAACTGCACTATTATTTTCCTATCATCAAAAATAAATGAAAACTAAGTGCTAGCACTTTCTGAGGGGCGCCTTGAGTCTAAAAGAGCACATCTAGATGTGCACGAAGGTGCTTTTTCTAACACGCATTAAAATTTAATACCTCCAATATGAGGTAATAAACAAATGCGCATTACGCTGCCTTAATGTACAGTAACAAGCGTACATGGTTTTTAAGCGATGCTTAATGTGCAGTAGACTATTTTACTGCATGTTAGCATAACTGCAGTTTTTTAGGTGACACTTTAAATCATAGTACAATAGTCTACTGCGCATTAAAAAGCATGTGTAGATGCGCCCAAAGAGTTGAGAATGAGTGCTCTAGACAGGTGCAAGTCTACGCAGCCTACTAGTGGCTGTTTCAGCAAACAAAATAAGCAGCGACTAGGCCACAGAAGATGAACTGTCCTCTCACTCCCAAGAGAGACCCTTGCCAGCCACAGCTGAAGAGCACTGGATAAGCAGAGATGCCTCATACTCGAGCTGTACGCACTGGATACCCGACCACCTCTTTAAGCCCCTGGACACACCATGTACTGACTCAAGGATTTGTCTGCAGTCTTGTCATAAATGCTGAGGCCATGCCCAGCTCACAAGACCCGAGGCAAAACGGAGAACAGCAGGATACACTCACCCAACTGTTACTTAATATATGCCAAGATATTCATCAGGACATCTTCTGACAGGTTAAATTTAGGAGGGGCTAAAACGTGAAGACTGTTACCTCCGACAGCCGTTATATGCTTTTGTGCTACTGAGAGGTGCCAGCGTGATCCTTGTGGAGGGTGAAGCCCTCTCTTTCCCAGAGGAACCGACTTGGCAGTGCAAGCCTCCCTCGCCCCCCGCCCCAAAGGACCTCCTCGAGCATTTATCAAGCAAATTCACTCTGCACGGCCCTGCG